ATTCGGGGAAAGATTGTACGGTTGTATTCGGGGAAAGATTGTACGGCAGTCTCCGACCTCATGATGTGTATGTACGGACTAGTATATGGGAGCACATCCTGACTGCGTGCGGACGCATGCGAGATCACATCTCAGTACGTATGATGTATATCTTAGGTTAATGGGGGAGTACGTTAGGCTAAGTTATGGCAGATCGTGACCAGCCGATGTTGTGCGGCTCGGTATGTCGAAATCGACCAATTGAACTGTTTCCGTCGTCGGATACGTACGTTGGTTCTTGTGCCTTCGCTTCATTCGGATTCTCCTCTCAGCGATGTGCGAGGCCGTAAGCGGGGGTCAATCAATGTAAAGTCCATTTACGCGAAAATGAACGGCATCTCGGAACGGATGCGTTGGCGGGGAAACAGTGAGGCGCCCCGCCTTGTTTCTTTTGGGCCGTTGTCTATCGCGTATGCGTTTTATTGGGGGCGGGAAACATGCAAAACTTGCTCCGTGTTATCATAGCCAAGTACCTTCACTCAAGTTGGGAGTTTGTCGAATGGTTGATATGGTAGAGCGGTGGATGATTGCTTTTTTGGACTCGTTTACCCAGATGCCTTCCCGCGATCTTGGTACGGTGGATGGAGCAGATCTACAGGCTAAAAATGCAAGGGTACGGTCCTTGCGGCGGTTGGGGGACGTGGAGGATGTGTTGGTTGTAGGGGGTGTGCAAGTCGAGTCCTATCTGATGATGACACATGTTGTGAAAGTAGTGAGCATCAGGCTCAATGTAGGGTTACAGTCCTTGTGGCCGTTGGGGAGCGCGAAGGATGAGGGTTGTAGGTGTGCATGTCGTATTTGATGATGGGAGGGTGACGTGGCTGCGTATGAATGAGATGATGACGCGTGGTCACAAGCTGTGAGCGTCATGCATTGAACTCTCGATGTTAGTGATAGCGTATGTACGTAATATGATTGCCTATCAAGGTGTTGACTGATGGAATTTGTGAATGATGGATACTGTCCTCCCTTTCCTTGTATGGAAATCTCGGTTTTCCGCATCCGTTTGCTCGTAGCAGGCTTGGGGAACTTCATTATCGTTCTCAGTGCCTTTTCCGATTCTGATCCCGAGCTGTTTGCTTTCTGAACTTGCAGAGAAAATGATGTGTCGTGACTTGGAAGCAATTTTTGTGAAAATGGAAGAACCGTGCAGATGATGACAAGAAAAAACGTCGTTTTTTGCACCCATGCGCGAAGCCTGAATGTTTCTTTCGCGCGTATTATGGTTTGCAAAGGAAGTGTCGTGAATCGTCGTGAATCTTGGACGTCACGCGTTGGCCTGTCGTTGTTGTGACTGATAGTTTATATGGGAATGTGTTCACACTTCCGTCGATGTATGAGGAGAATCACTCTGGAATGAAATCGTGTTTGTTTCTGACTCCAGGCTCGCATGTGGTACTGTGTTGGACAACCAACCTAGGGAGTAACGGTCCACATGTGCAGTCTTTTTCGGCCGTTAGAGTCATCGGTCTACCTGTTAATCTCGTCTTGAAATGCTGTCGTCTTTTACAAATGTATTGGTTCGAGTAATGCTGGGTTCAATCATTTGCTAACGATGTGAATGTGTCTACCAGGCTGCTGATTTGAAAAGGAGGCCTCACGTTGTGTCATTGCTGCAAACGTCATGTGCATCCATTGAAATCGGGTTTTGGTATTGTAGTGGGTGCCACGGAGTTTTCAGGGTGTTTTGCTTGACAGTCCGTTTGGCGTACTCGCCCATTAACTACGTGCATGTTGTCGTAGCTGCCGCGTGATGGCTTACCATTGTCCATGGGTTGAAAATTATTGCTACGGAATGCTGTCATAGTCCACACTATCGGTACAACAATGCCTACAACCTTTCCTGCTTTCGGGACCTAATTCGCTGGACACGATATGTTTTGCGAGAGATCTGTGGAACATTAGTGGGGAACGGCGAGAGCCTGAAAACGGAGGTTATACTCTGGCTTTGTCTTGCCTATGTCCTCGTTGGGGTCATCTTCTATCTGCTGCCTTCGGTTGCACGCACGTCTCTTTTTTTCTTTTATTTTTTTTGCACGCACGTCTCTTAGAGGATACACTTCGGTCAATTAAGTGTGCCGTCGTTTCCTCCAATTTGTATTTGTATGGTACTCGCAAAGTAACAACGCAACAGTGAATCTGTGAGGAGCCCATTGAAATATGTGCGCAATGCAATCCGTGGGAGTCTGTAAATTTGTATGGTCTATGATTCGATGTTTGCGCACGCACACAGACAGACACACACACACACACAGAGGGAGAGAGAGGGAGAGAGAGAGAGATGCAGCGTGATTTGAAGAGTGGTTGAGGGGATACGTTTCCAGCTAGGGTGTAGTTCCTTTCTTGATTAATTGGGCTAAGTACTGGATGTCATTGTTGTGTGGCTGCGTGATTTTTTTCGTCATTTTTGCAGAGTTAATGAATGTAGGGCAAAAGCAAGCAGCCCTACAGGCCCTCCACGACCTCATCACTTCCAAGAGGTATCGAGCATGGCAGAAGACGCTGGAAAGGATTATGTTCAAATATGTGGAGCTTTGCGTCGATATGCGGAAGGGGAGGTTCGCAAAAGATGGACTTATCCAGTTCAGGATTGTTTGCCAGCAAGTGAACGTGTCGTCCCTTGAGGAAGTCATCAAGTATTTTCTGAAGCTGGCAAACGAGCGAGCAGAGCAGGCGCAAGCGGCGGCTGCAGAAGTCACCCTCGACGTGGACGATCTCGATGCCGTCAAACGACCAGAAGATTTGATGGTCAGCTACGTCAGTGGAGAGAAGGGGAAAGAACGTGCAGACAGAGAGATGGTCACTCCATGGTTCAAGTTCCTGTGGGAAACGTATCGGACGGTTTTGGAGATTCTGCGGAACAACTCGAAGCTGGAATCCCTCTATGCGGTGTGTCACTCAGCTCTTTCCCCGTCACACAGTAATAATAATAATAATAATAATAATAATAATAATAATAGTAATAATAATAATTCTCTTTGCGTTTTCTCTTGTCCACGTTTTTTTTCCGAATTTTTACCTTTTTCTGTCTCGTCTTCTCTGTGCGCATCCGCGTACTGTGCTTTCTCTTCCCTGCAGAAGTGCCTCCCCGTGTGCCTTTCTCTTGCCTGCGGAATTGCCTATCGTCTTCACCCAAAGTATCCTGTTCGCGTGCGAATGGACCGTGCGTTCCATTCAGGTGAAGAGGGTGGGATGTTCGTCTTTTCGATTGCTGTTGGCTTGCTTAACTCTGCATCATCTGGCTCCACGTCGGTTCTCTGGATGGGGGTTATGAGGAACAGATAGTGATGGATAGTAAATGTCGGTTATTGCCGGCTTTAAGCGGAATGAATGTCAATGTTGTTGCCCTCGACTGAGCTATCAATTAACGATGGACGGCTGTCTTGTCCATGCAAACAATGACGAGGCTTGTTAAAGATGTTTTTCCCCCTTTCTCTAAGCTTCCTCGGCTTGTCGCACCTATAGAAGGGGAAAAGACAAAGCTTTTCGAAAGCAAACGAAAAGGAAGTGGGAAAAAAACGAGGCGCATGCCGGTGATAAGCAGGACAATGAGGTCGATGAGGACGAGGTGGAGGAATTGGGTCAGGGGAAGTTTCTGCAGTACTATTCACAAAGGAGAAGGGGGGGGGTGCAAGGGAGAAGGTTATGGCAGAGAAGGTAGATGGGAGGAGGAGGAGGAGGAGATGAGGTAGGAGGAGAGAGACGAGAAGGGGGGATGGGCGAGGCCCCCTCTCTGGACCTCGTTTTCTTATCCGTATGATATAAAGGATGACCAGGGAAGTTTCTCCTTAGGATTTAGCACGGCAAGTGTAGGAAGAGAAAGGACGGAAGACAATCAGGAAGAGTGGCGGCTCATACAGAGTGCGAGGAACAAGGTGGAAGATGAATTTCGAGCTGGAGGAGTGTGCTCTGGAACCGCAGAGGGAGGTGGATTAGGGGGGGTGAGATTCTAGCAGAGTGTCGAGACGGAGTACAAGTGGGGTCGCCAAAGGTGGGTATGTGGGATGAACGGATTGGTCTGTTTTGTATGTTGTCATTGTTCAAAGACGAAAGAGGATGGAGGAGAGGAGGCACGACGGGGTGAGAGAGAGAACGGCCAGTGTGGCAGTGTGCCTCCTCCCTTCCCCCCTTCGCGGTTCTTTTTCATTGTCGTCAACTTTGGTGAACCAAATAATCTAGGGTGGTAATGCCGGATTTGGATGGCCTGCGGGTTTAGCGTACTCTGGCTCCTAGTCTTTCCTCTCTGAACAGTTCTTTAAGAAAGAATTATGGCTTCTTTGTTCAATGGCGTGTGTTTGCAATGTCTAGGTGATTGTTCTTTTTGTTTTTGGCTTCTGATTAATGGTGTTAATTGCGATTGGTTGCTGTCGCAATGGTGAATTGCCCAGCCGTTAATCCGATGAATTCGGTGTGGTGTGTTACCTGCAGATGACAGCGCACAAGGCTTTCCAGTTCTGCCTGCATTACAAGCGGACAACGGAATTCCGAAGGCTGTGCGAAATTTTGCGAAATCATCTGATGAATCTGAACAAGTATCGGGACCAGAGAGATAGGCCAGATCTTTCTCTTCCAGAGAGCCAACAGCTTTACATGGAGACCAGATTTGAGCAGCTCAAGGTCGCTACGGAATTGGAGCTCTGGCAGGTAATCATGACGTGTGTGATGTTTGCACTGGGAGGATTTCCTCCATCGTGTGGCGTACACGTTTTCTTCTTTGAGTGAGGTTCGGTTAACTCGGGTACGAAAGGAAGTCGTTTTGATCTGCGGCTAGGTCCCACCAGCAGCGTTGAGTTTCCTCAACGCCTGAATCTGGACGCGTTCGTAGAGATGTGCGGTTGAGGAGAACTCAACGCGATTTCTGCACATATCCACAGACACGACCAGATTCAGGCGTTGAGGAAACTCAACGGTGCTGGTGGGACCTGGCCCCTGGACGCAGTCTGTTCTGGGCGTGAATGTGAGTAATATCACCGTTTGAAATTTGAATGTTTTCATACGAGAACGGACACTTCCTAAAATAGGGGTGTGGGGGCAGTATGGTCGATTCATCCCTGATGCTTCGCTGGGTGTTCACACCCCCCCCCCCCCCCCCAAAAAAAAAAAAAAAAAGGAAAAAAGGGAAAAAAAAAACACTAAACATGGATGTTCAATCTGGGGCGCGTCAGTACGGTTATTACATATCACCGATGAACATAGACACCAAATACACATGCCTCATCTGTTCTGGTGGCGTTAGTCCGGTTTCTGTGATGGGTGTGTCTCCACCCCCCAAAACCCTTCGAAATTTGTCCCGAGAGTTTGTCGTAATTTCGTAGTCAATGGTCTTTTTGGGAACGGGATGGAAAGACACCTTACTGTTGCAGTATGTTTATTGCATGTGACGACGTCATTTGGTTTCAATTAGGTCGATCATTTCTGCTGTTTGGTGTCTTGCTCTCTCTCGTTAACGATCGACGTGTTTCCTGTCTGGTGGACTTCTTTTTCTATGTCCCTTACTGCCGGTTGCAGGAAGCGTTCAGGTCTGTGGAGGACATTCATGGACTGATGACTTTGTTCAAGAAGGCTCCAAAACCCCAGATGATGGCGACATATTATGCGAAGTTGGCAAAGATTTTCTGGGTCTCTGAGAACCACCTTTACCACGCCTACGCGTGGTACAAGCTGTACAGTCTGCAGAAGAACTACAACAAGAACCTTCTTCCTCGGGATCTTCAACTGTATCCTTCCTTTGAACGAGTGTCCCCTGATTGGTTGAGATATGCTTGGAATTCAGACTTGAACGTGTGGTTGGATATGTTTGGTGCTGCCACTTTGTTTGTCGTATTCCTATCATAATGTGTGTTATCTTGTATCTGCCTCCTGTAATACGTCGGTGCTCGTAGAGTGCAGGCATGCAAATGCATCCGCCTCTGGGGCGTCCTCTGTGGCAATGGATGCCAAAGGAGCCTGAGCTGGCCACTCCGCCAGGGATCTAGGGGACATGTGATATCTGTATCTAGCCGCCTTTTCCCTGAATGATGAACACTTTGGAATGGTGCAGGATTTTCTTGCAAATTGCCCCCTTACCGCATGCTGGTCGCAGCTGGCTTTCTCTTCCGTGGATGCTGCTGTCCGATGGTTATATCGTTGTTGCAGGCCTTCTGCTATGGAAGAAACTTTGTATCAGGATGCGAATTTGCTGTGGCCTATTGAGTTCTGCAGCCTGTGTTAGTGCGTTTGCACAATTCACCACGGCAGTGTTCAATCTGCAATAGGACTGTGCAGTGACCTGAGTGCTTTTGCCTTCCCCTCGGTAAAAGTACCACCATCTTCCAGTGCTCGTGATCCCTATGTCCTGTGTCGTCACTAAACCCAAGATTTATGTTGTTCACTAGAATTCAACGATATGATCATTATTGCTGTATCTAGACTCAAAGATGCCCCAAATACAACTATAATGTTCGTTCGACGAGTTGAGACCATTACTGGTCCCCCTAGGACATCGGGAATTGATTGCCACGGGCATCACCGGGATGTTCCCCGAGCATAAGAGACTGGCATGGATGGGATTCTCACGGTGGTCGATCGTGCCATGTTTTTGCCTTGCGACTGTACATTGTATTCAGGTGAAGATGGTAGTGTTACCCTGTGAGTCCTGGCGTTTTTGCCATGTTGAATGCCTTGCTGGCTTATTGCCCTTGACAAAAGAACAGAATTGCATCGTCTGTGCTGCTTGCAACACTCTCGGTTGCACCATATGATCGGAAGCATGGCGCCCATCACTTTGAACTGGAGATGGAGAAGGAGCGAAATGTGAGGATGGCTAACTTGCTGGGATTCAGCTTGGACCCGAAGAGGGATGCACGGGAGGTGGTAAGTATCCGTCTGTGGGGGTTGGTTGTGTTGGGTGAGGGAAAGGGAAGAGGAGGATGTTCGTGCCGAATGGCTTAAGAGAGCAATGGATCAGAGGTTGGGAAGTATTGGGTGAAGAAAGGAGCATACTTGTGTCAAATGCTTTATAAAACACCAGCACCTCCGAGAGGTGCTCATATACAAGCTGGCTGCGGGGTGGATGTACCGGCCTGCCTGTGCCAGGTTAAATTCATTCGTGAGGAACAGTTGCGCTACAGTACGTGTAGCTGGGAGAGGTACTGGGGGTCTACGAGGGCAGTAACGTGGTGAATGCAAGCATGACCAAACTCAAAACTGAAAGCTGTATGCTGTTTTGAACTATGGTCTTTCCCTGAATTGAGCGTCCCCTCATAATGACTGCATCGGATCAGGAAGATGGCTTGTATACCTTCAGAATGAGGGTGCTATATGTGCAGGGGAAGATGGTAGTTCTTATCAGTGGCCGCATGTTAATTTGGTGTATGTAACATATTTTGTGGCTGATGCGTTGCGATTTGATGAGCATAAGTGAATGGCTTGCTGATCAAAATGTTATGTAGGTTAGTGTTGGTTATCACTATTGTCTCTCTCGCCCGTGCATGTGGAGTGGACAACGTAGCAAGCCAGCCTTGCGAGAGGTCGTGAACAGAAGGAAAGACCCCTCCTGGTGGACCTCTGAGTCACTCTTGAACCACCAGTACCTACCGCATTCTTAGGCCCCATCTGACACGGATGAATACAGCCCCGCGCGGTAGGCCGATTCACCCGACGCGATGATGGCCTAAGAACGTGGAATTACTCTGGTTGTTTCAGGCTAACGTGTTATCTGGTGGTGGTTGCGATTGTAGAAGCAGCTGATGTTTTCTGATTTGTATTTCAGTCTCGAAAGTATTGGGGATAATCTTCAAACAAGTTTTGGTAACAAGTTTTGCTTGGGTGGTGGTTGTGCTTGTGTTGGGTGTAATATGGTGTTCGTGATCGTGCTTGTGTTTGGTATATGGTGTTCGTAATGGTTTTCTTGTGCCAGCTCTCCAGGTCAGCTCTTCTTTCGGAGTTGGTAGGGAAAGGTGTGATGAGCTATGTTCCCCAGGATATCAAGGATGTTTACAACATCCTTGAAAACGAGTTCCATCCTCTCGATCTAACCACGAAGGTGCAGCCTCTGTTGGAGAAATTGTCCTCCTACAACGAAAAGCTGTCTGCTGCCTCTCCTGTGCCCGAGGTGCAACTGGATCAGTATGTTGAGCCAATTCAGAGGTTGACAACTCTCCGGCTTCTTCAGCAGGTAAATTTAGTTGGTTCTGCTTTGCTTGCTCTAGAGGTTCGTTTATGTTTTTTTTTAATGTTTTTTTAAGGGTTTGTTGTGGATCGTGTCAGCAGCTGAGCTTTCGTGTCCCAATCAAAGACATCATCGTGGTGAAGAAACGACTGTCTTCTTTGGTTTCTGGAAGTGTACTGTGGTTGGTTAATTATTACCCGGACGTGTTCAGCAGGTCCTCTCCTACGAGATCGTTAGCACCCTGGGTGTCTTTCCAAGACAAGGACATCTGAGCTGAATGGGGCAGGATAAAGAAAATGGGCTCACGTAATGGGAACGGCATAGAAAGCTTTTTACTGCTTGCATAATTGAATCCAACGAGCATACTGGAAGTGTACTGTGGTTGGTTAATTACCCGGACGTGTTCAGCAGGTCCTCTCCTACGAGATCGGTAGCACCCTGGGTGTCTTTCCCAGACAACGACATCTGAGCTGAATGGGGCAGGATACATAAAATGGGCTCGCGTAATGGGAATGGCATAGAAAGCTTTTACTGCTTACGTAATTGAGTCCAACGAGCATAGAAAGCATACTGTTTACGTAATTGAATCCAACGAACATAGAAAGCATACTGCTTACGTAATTGAATCCAACCAGCATATTGTGAAACCGTTGAACCTTTTTGGAATTTCTGGATTTTAAATGGGGCATAGTGTTCAAAGGAGCTTTTTGATGCCAGACCACACTGGACACTAATTGTCCAGCAGCCAAAACTCTTTTTCGGAATAGCAAATAGAGTCAACTTCCAGTCTGCTGAATCTCATTTCAGTGGAGAGTCTTCCGTAGGGTTGGAACCATGTTTACTGTGCTATATGTTTTGTAGCCGTGGTGTGAAATTTTCCAGATTCACTGTTTGTGTACGCATACAGAATACGCAAGTGGCATGGTAAATCTCTAATCCGCTTATTGCGTAGGGCATGAATAGCGGTCCTGTAAACTGACAAATGTAACTGTATGTGCACCGCAGGTATCCCAGGTTTATACCACTATGAAGATTAGGCATCTGGCAAACATGATCCCATTTGGAGACTTCAACTACATTGAGAAACTGGCGATGGATGCGGTAAAATACAACTACGTTCAAGTCAGAGTTGATCATCTGAAGGGCACGGTTCAGTTTGGCAGCCAGGTTCGCAACTTTCTGAGCCTTGTACTCTTTGTGGAAAATCATCTCTGCTGTGTTCTCTTTGTATCCCGTATTTATCCCATATCTGTACTTGTTGTACGTAGATTTTTCTTTATGCTCTGTTTCTCCTAAATCAGGTGAAACATCTCGGCGCATGTTTTCTGGATGTATCATTGTTTCTTGCAGCATGTGGGGGTTTGTAAGGTTTCATCCCTTTGTGTGTGTGGAAGAAATGCCGAATGATTAATATGATGTGTGCTTATTTGCTCCACCAATCCTGTGGTTTCTGATTTTTGCCTTGGGAGCTTTGAAGAGTGCAGGTGGGGATTAGGTTGTACCTGGCTTGAAAGGCTGGTGGGGAATGCTTGTCTGTAGTGGAAGGCTTGGGTATCCGGAAAAACTTGTTCCTTTGTAGCTTTCACGCTCAGTTTCGGATGAGAAAGAACCTGTCTAAAGTCATTGAAATGCGTATCTCCTACGTGTTCTTACATTTTTTTAATCCAATGCTGTTACGTATTGAACTTTGCAGGATCTGGAGTCGGACAAGATAAAGAATCACTTGACAATCTTGGCGAAGAGGCTCAACAAGGCACTTGGGCTCATTCATCCCACTGGACCAAGTCCGGATTATGTAGCTGCAAAGAAACGAGACATTCAGCGGCTCTTGTCAGCTGTAAACAAGGAGCACCAGGTTGCGCTTGCAAGAAAGGTGTTGATCGAGCGACGTAAGGAGGAGCAAGAGAGGCAGATGCTAGAGATGGTGAGTTATCAGTTTTGCATGAAACGGTTTATTTTAGCCACATTTGTGCTCTACAAACCGAAAACGGCAATGGAAATGGAGAAAGAAGAAAAACAGAAAAAAAGCATAAGGAAACTCAAGGCTGCCAGAGAAAAACAAAATCTGAAAAAGGGGTGGGTTTGCTGCTTGTCATCGCTTTTTTACTTCGTAATGGATGTGTCAATTGCTGCTGTGCATTTTCAATGCTCGGGCAAGGACGTGTATGTGTGTGTGCGCCAACTGTCCTTTCTGTCATTAATCTGGTCATGATTCGGTTAACTACCGTCTGATGTCTTCGCTGAGCACATTCAATTATGTCTAGAATTATGTCATAATGCACTAGACGTTGTACGAATGCTAACTGCGTGCACACATGGCGTTGTTAATTGTGCAGGAAAGAGAGGAGGAATCCAGGAAGCTGAAGCAGCAGAGGCTTACGGAGGAGGCTGAGGCTAAACGTTTGGCAGCAGAGTCTGCCCGTCGTGAGGAGGAGCGAATCCGAAGAGAGCTGGAGGAGAAGGAACTCGAGAAAGCGAAGATGATGGTTGCCGATATGGAAAAGCGCAAAGGAAAGAAGGGCAAGAAAGGAATTACAGCGGAGGTACGCTTGGTGACTACCCTTAATCCGAAGTTCTGTCACGTTTTTTGTTCTGCTGAGCTTGGATTGTATCTCTGTGGCTGCATATCGTCTGCGTTGATTGTTGCTCGTTGTCCTTTTTCAGGCAGGTATACCAGACAAGTAGCAACTAAGCCGCCCTCTGTCTTCTTGCTGTTGAAGTTACTACCACTTGGACAATCAGAAACTCCGCATGGTAATATGCTTTGTGAGTTTTCCAGGTCCGATCCAGAGATGGAGGTGGTTTGATAGGGATTTCACTCTCAGGGCAAGTCAAAGGTTAGCAGGGTGTCTTTGTCCTGGTTTTGCTGCCGGTGCTCTTCTAATGTAGCCATTGCGGTTCTTCTTTCCTGTCCACAGCCGGATAAAGACAAGCAGCAATTGATGGACCTCCTCCTCTCGGAGCAAATTAAAGAACGCCAGGAGATGGAGCGTAAACTGCAGAGGCTCTTGAAGCAAATGGATCATTTGGAGCGTGCGAAACGTGAGGAGGAACGCCCTGTTATTGAGGCTTCCTATCAACAACGTCTGATTGACGATGAGGAGTACCACAACCAGCAGCAGCAGGTCAGACACCGAATATCTCCTTTGCATGATGCATTGTCGTCATTGTTCCACTTGGTATCACCAAAAAGGAATCATATGTCCTAGCAATTCCCTCGAAAATATAGGCAAAAGCATCGAAAATACTGTTGGCTTGGAGTAGTTGTAGTCAATTAAACCAGCGGTACCTTTAAGCCTAAGCTATAAAAGCTACGTGGTTATGTGTGGGAGCATTCCAGGTGGAGGCTGGGTACTCACCCTAGTGTGACATGCAGAAACGGTCTTGGTAAGTTGGGCACTTTGATGGAAATAAGAGCCTGGAGTGTCGGTGGGCCAAGCTGTGAGAGACTTGGTGGGGGGACATTGGTTTGAGTTTTCTACATGCTGAGAACGTGGAATCATGGATTGGCTGGGTGATAGACATGCCATCTCGTGGTGTTGAAAAGGCAGGGGTGGAGGGCACAAATGAAAGAAGGGGGCTATGAGTGGTATGAGTGGGTTGCTTAGGGCTGAGGTGAGCCTTTGCATGATGACGAACAGGGTTCCTTCCATATTTCGGAGAGATGACCGGTTCTTACGTGTGCTACCTATTTCTTTCCTTGATACAGCTGGATAACTTTATGCTTCCTCGTGACATTTTTTTTCTCATTTTCCCGTTCAAAACGCTGAAAGAGTTTTAAAAATAGTACTTGGAGTTCACTAAGATGTGTGTGAAAACAGCGACACAATGTTTTCACATGTTATGCTGAATGATAATTTATGTAGTCTTCGATAGAATCGCAGTAAGGTTTATGCTAGAGCTTCTGAAATGACCTCACAAGAGTCACAGTATCTAATAGCTCCAGCGTACTTCATCCAAGGATGGAGCAAAGGCAGCCAAGGATGGAGCAAGGAAGGAAAACAAACTCGTTAACAAGAAAGCCACGTCGTCGACATGCTTTATGAAAGGGTTTTCAGCTAAATGTTGGTCACGTATCATTATCCTCCGTTGGTCAACTGTGCTGCTCTTGTAACCACCGCTCTCGTAGTGGGCCCACCTGCCGTTGTTGCCGTTGTTGCCATTGCAGATGTAGATGATTCTGATTGCTATTGTAGCAATTCTCTCTCTCTCTCTGTCTCTCTCTCTCTCTCTTCGCAGTTGCAATGACCCCCCCGGCACTTGTTTTCAGTGGGGACCTGATGATTTATTTCTAAGCCAATTGATTGCAGGGCTTGCCAAAATATGTGCACTTTTGAAGGGTAAACATTGACAGCTCTTCCATGTCTGAGATGCTCTCTCTCTTTGGTTGATTGTGCCTTGTGGGTTCAGCTGACAATCGAGCAAAGCAAGCTTCAGCATGCGGCAGATATCCAGGAGAAGAGGCGTCTGTCGCGTATGGAAGACGATAAGGTATGAGAACAAACTGCCCGTCCGCCTTCTCTCCGCCTCCATCCCCGGATGCGTACTTTTCGGTTATGCTGGTGGAATGATGGTTATGATGCCTGTCCTGCCCGTGGTGTACTTTCAGTTATGCTGGTGGAATGATGGTTATGATGCCTGTCCTGCCCGTGGTGTAAGTACGATGACCAAGTTCCTATATATCTCCCTACCATCGTCACCTGAATAGAATGCCCTGTCATTGTAGCTGTATTTGGCGCACCTTCCAATCCTGATAGAGCGATAATGATGTGGTATTCTATTTGGGTGAAGACAGTGGTCCTAGTTTAGTGGTGGCACTGCTTGATAGACTGGCAAAAGAGGAATGTTGTGAACAACAAATAGAGACGCTTCTCCACCCCTGTATAACTTTAAGTGCCCTGTAGATATCTCTTCAGTCTGTGGTGTTCTTCAGTGAGGCATGTTATTATGTTAGATGGAACTCCAAACAAAAGCAAGTCGAAGGTAGCCGTGAATGAGTTGGTAATTTTGTGCGATTAAGCACATCATCTCGGTACAGCAATGCGCCTTGACACGTAATGATGGTACTTGCGCCCTACGAGTTGGTGCTTTTTTGTTCCTAACCCTATGGGGGTTAATCGAGCAATCAAGCAGGGCACATAATTTGCTTCCTGGGAGGCAGAGCTTCCAGATGTGGACCTGGGTGTCATGTGAGATGTGCTTGGTTCTCAGTCGGAGATGTTCTCTTTGAGCTTGATGCTTCTGTTTTCTGCTTTTGTTTCTTTTGTCAAACCATCCGTACACCAGGGCCTGCAGGAGCCTTACTGCACGCCAAGCTTTTCCGAAGCCCCCAGCAGGGCACTCTTCTTCTTTTTTGGCTGGTGCCACCTGTCATTGTGGTCCGGTAGGCTGAGGTTGCAAAAATTTTGTAGGCTTCGAGTTTCTTTGCGAGCAAGGCTGGGTCCGTGTACTGGCAGTTTAAGGGGAAGAAGATCAGCAAACTAGTGTAAAATAAAAATGTGGCATAGGTGCTTCTGTCCGTGAGCACCAATGCTCGGTGATTGGGCAAAAAAAGAGTTGCGGCACGTCGAGTGGCAGCGAACAGGGCCGTTGCAATGGAAGCAGAGAGGACTTGTGCATGCATTCACATGGCCTGCGGTATGGGGGGGTGCCTCCAGTACATGATTTTGAGGTTTGGAATGCATACCCTTGGGTGTGAATATTACTACTGATATTTCCAGCCTGCCAAGCAGGGAATGCAGGGTAGGGAGCAATTTGGGGCATGAGTGTGAACTGGATGTCAAAGCAGAACCTTTGAAAAACATCAACTCTAACCCTTGCTAACTGCCAGTACATCGCCTAGGCTACTGACTAGAATGGAATTGCCAGTTCATCGCCTAGGCTACTGGACCAAAATGCCTGGTGACGATACCCAAAGACGAAAAAGAATGCTGTGGCGAGGGGTAATCCTCTTCGGGGAAAAGAGGGCTTGGGTTTACTGGTGCTGTAAGGCAGCAGCAGGGTGCTCATTGACAGACATCGGCCATTGATTTCGTTACATTGTACGAAGTCAATGCGCCTGGTCTTTTGGGGCTTGCCTACAGCGACAGAAAAGGCTGACAGCAGCAGCCGAGAAGGTCCAATTTTGAGCCTGTGCCGTTTCAACGGAACTTGGTACGTGACAGAAATTGGCCTCAGTTAGCAAATGAGGTTTGGAAGTACTGGTGGTTCAAGTGCCAGTGAAACGCAAGGCTGTGGGCTCCAGGTCACCTGTACTTATTAGTTGGCTGGTAATAGATTCGGATGCTTATGAAGTCTTATTTTCCTGGCTCTTTATGTTTGCAGGTTGCCTTCCAGGAGCAAGTGATGAGTCGCCGCAGTGTTGAGTTTGAGCGGTTGAGGTTGGAGAGGGAGCAGCGTCTGGCTGAACTGCGTGAGATAAGAAAGGTGGAGCGTCTGCAACGCAGGAAAATGGAATGTTACAGAAGGCAGGAGGAAGCTCGTATTCGGAAAATCAGGGAAGAGGAAGAAGCAAGGAAGAGAGAAGGTTTGTATATACCCACCCAGTCATGCTCTAGTGGAATTATAATCCTTTGTGTTTTGTGCTGCAATAGCAAATATTCTCTGCTGTTTTGTTGCCTGCTTCTTGGCCTTGGATTAAGTAAATGAAATTTTGTATGTTTGGAACCCAGGCAGGAATGAGAAGTGTTAAACCACTACTGTCTTCACCGAATAGAACATCTGGTAATTATCGCTGTATCTGGACTTGAAGTTGTGCCAAATACGGCTATAATGACTGGGCGTGCTATTCTGGTGAAGACGGTACTACCTCCGCCAGTGTTGGGAAAATAGGGATAACTCCTAACTAAACAGTCGGAGGTCAGGCCCCACAAGGGCTGCCATTGATAAATCTGATCGCCGGCTGTCGTTTTTGTTCAACCTGCTATAAAAAAGATCGGAGGCTCACCTGAGCCCTGCTGTTTTCCCACTCGGCAATGGTACTAGTAGTGGTTTAAGTGAAATTTAGCATGTTTCGAGTCCAGGCAGTAATAAGAAGTGTGAAGTAATGATCAGGACGCCTGTGGAAACCGTGTGGGGAACCCAAACAGGAAAAAGAAATGTGAAGGAATGGGATCTCTCCCTTTTCAGAACAGATGAACAAGATGAGTTGTAACACTCCTCAGTTGGCAACAAGGTGTGAACACATCATCCAGTGGGAGACTTTGAGTGGTCATTTTGGGGACGGCTGATATAAACCACCACCAGTTCAGTCCCCAGAGACATGGCCCTTGGTATTGTGAAGGGAGGGCCACGAGGCATTTTGTGTTACCTGATCTCTTACCCAGGGGCGATAGGTGATTATGTATGAAATGGGAAGTAGGTATGCATGCACGAAGAGTTCTGATTCTTTGTTTTTTTGCACCGGATGCGGATATGATGTGCTGTCAAATGTATATACGATTTGGGTTTGATAATGGTGTTTATGTCTTTCAGTAGAGTTTAGTGATGCTGTGGCTTTGGTCAGCAGTGAGAAGTCTAGGTGGTTATGGCCTGAAAATGTCAACGTTTTAGCTCCTTAGGGTCCCCATTGGATGTACCTGAACTTCAGTTAAGTCCAAATGGTATCTCAGGAGATCAACTGTGATATTTTTTGGGCCACATAAGTAGGTTTCAATTTCTTTCAAAAAATATACAATGTCCGTTTTGACGAAATCGCTGTTAGTCGTTCATGCAGAAGTGTCATCTGGCTAAGCGACTGGATTACCATCTGTTCCTTGTCAGATTTCTGTTGTATGTCCTGGCCGTGTCGCTTCTACAATTGAAGATAATGTACCAGGGAAGCGGGTCTGGAATGCATTATCACCATCTATCATGTGTATTGGAGAGTACCACACATTACCGAGGTGATGATGAATTCGTAGATGGCATCGAGTTCAGAATATCCAAATTGGTAGTCGTATAAGCGGTATTTAGTTCAACAAGATGTTTGTAGTTACTAAAGTTTTGTTCACAATCGTACCATGTGAGATGTCAGGGTACTGAATCGACTGATTGATGTGAGGATGAAGTTTTAGGTACCATCAAATTCAGAACGTGGAGCATATCCACGTCTGTCATGATAGGAACTTCATTCTGGCCAAGCAGGTGGATTTCTCTGCTGGCATTCAGTTTAAACTTTAAAGCACCAGTAGACCACACATCGGCCCGCGGGTGTCATCCCGAAACCCGCTCCACTTTGGAGGCCGCCATTTTAGTTTTTTTTTTCAACGGTGCCCCTCTCTGTGCGGCCCCTCCAAGTTTTGCTTGTGGGGACAACAAAAACTTTCTGCAAGGCTGGGGCCGTGTACTTGCGGTTTAAGATTGTTGGCGAGCTAGGTGTTGTGGCTTGAGGGGATGATGAAACATAGAGACCATCAAATTCAGAATGTGGAGCATATTTACATCTCTGGTGAGAAAAATGTTTTTACTTTTCTGATCAAGCCAGTGCATTTTTGTTAGTTGCACATAGTTCAGGCCAGTTGATAGGGCAGATATTATTGCTTGGAAATGATAAAATCAGAGGACCAAATTCAGAATGTGGAAGACCACGTGTGTTTTTTTTTTCAGAATATTTTGTTGCCAAACAGGTGAATTCCTGTTAGCTCCTTTTAGTTAGGCTAGGTAGCATTGCTTGAGGTGATGATGAAACGTAGAGACCATCAAATTCAGAATGTGGAGAGTATCTACATCTGTGGTGTCAACAAAATTATTTTCTGATCAAGCGAGAGTGATATCTGTTAGTTCTGTATAGTACAAGCCAATTGCCGGTCTCGATATTGATGCTTGAGGCGATGATGAAATCATAGAGATGTTTAGACTTTATAATGTGGAGTATATCTATCCGCGTCTGTGTTGTTCTCAAATCTTTTCTAGCCAAGCAGGTGAATTCTTTTAGCTTTATTTAATTTTAATTTTTAAGTCAGTCGGTGAGCCAAGTATTAATGCTTGAGGTGATGATGAAACGTAGAGACCATCAAATTCAGAATGTGGATTGTATCCTACATCTGTGGTGACAAAAGCATATTTCGTTTCTGATCAAGCGAAGTGCATTTCGGTTAGTTGTACATAGTCCAAGCCAGTCAGTAGGGCTAGATATTGTTGTTTGAGCTGATGAGAAAATTATAGACACCAGCAAATTCAGAATGTGGGCAGTATCCATCCACATGTGTTGGTACAGTTCCTGACGCATTTCTGTTTGCTCTCGTTAGTCTAGACACAGATGTCGAGCTATATATGGTTGCTTGAGGTGATGACGAAACATTGAGACCATCAAATTCAGAATGTGGAGCCTATCTACATCTGTGGTGATAAAAACATTTAGTCTGATCAAGCAGTGCATTTCTGTCAGTTGTATTTAGCTCATGCCAGATGGTAGCTAGATATGGTCGCTTGGGGTGATGATGGAACATTGAGACCATCAAATGCAGAACGTGGAGCGTATCTACATCTATGGTGATAAAAAAACATTTTTCTATTCTGATCAAGCGGTGTGTTTCCGTCAGTTGTGTTTAGTCCATGCCACAGATGGTAGCTAGACAGATGGTAAGTAGGTAATGGTTGCTTGGGGTGATGATGAAGTATTGAGACCATCAAATTCAGAATGTGGAGCCTGTCTACATCTGTGGTGACAAAAATGTTTTTCTATTCTGATCAAGCGATGCGTTTCTGTCAGTTGTATTTAGTTCATGCCACAGATGGTAGCTATGGTAGCTAGATACGATTGCTTGAGGTGATGATGAAACATTGAGACCATCAAATTCAGAATG